CGGGCAAATCGTCCTGCCCGTCCAACAGGATCTCGTCCATACCCGGGCAGAGCAGCCACATCAACAAGCGATCTGCCTGATAGCCTTCCTCCAAGGGCATCCTCGGCGTTCTCCATGCACAAACCAGTCGAAGACGAAATTGAAGATCATCGAGGCTCAGGCAGTGCAATGTCCCATCGCCGGGCGAATTCCCATGTGCCTGGCGGCGGCGCAATGGGTCGTCCTTTAGCTCAGGAGCCACGCACGCACTCAATCCGAAAGAATGTGTTTCCAGCAGAAATCCACACACGTACTATTCCCATCCCGGCATCTCCAGCTCTGTCCTATCGTGAAAATGGTCAACGACGACACGAAAAGGAAGAGGCACGGGCACTACGAGATGCCTTGCAGAAAATGGATATCCAGGACGATGTCGGTCTTCACCAAGCAGCCCAGGATGAGGCCACAGAGCTAGTTTGGATGCATCAGAACCCTGGTCAAGCTTTCAAAAACCCTTACGCGCCGTACCGAAATCCTGACGCCAAGAAGCGCAGCCAGAGCCCTGTCCGAAATGGCTCCCGAGAGCATAACCCCTCGACCAATAGATTCAGCCAGTCGACAGGCTCAAGTGTATCCTCTGATGGTAACTCTAGCCCCGAGTCGATCCGGAAACGATCATCTCTGGCTGGGCCTTCTAAGAAGAATCTTAAAGTTAACTTTAAACTACCTGACGAGGAACCAGAGCAGTCTGTCGCTCCCAGATCGCGAACTGTCAGCGGGGATTCATCCAAAGGAATATTCAGGAACCCTAAAGATCAAATTTACGAAGAGCCAATTGATACTCAGAAGGAACCGGAAGCAAAGCCCGACTTTTCTAAGTCAGACTCGTCAGCTTTGAAAAACAAACCGCGCAACGCTCTGGGGCGTGTTACTAAACCACTGCCTTGGTTGCAGAATAGAGCTCACAGCAGCCCTGTGATGGATAAAATCTCGCGGTTCGAAATCCACAAGAACCCTCCCACCCAGTCACGTAACGCCGGCTACACTCGAAACGAAAGCGCTACTCCTCCTCCCACCCAGTCAAACAACGCCGGCTACACTAGAAACGAGCATGCTACTCCGACCCCTCCCCTCGAAGAAAGGGATCAACCTGTCCCCACCAAGGATGGAAGAGAGAGACGCAGCGACGATATCCGCGCAGCTACCAGCAAAAAACGAGGAGACCGCAGTGAAAAGCTACCAATGCCTTCGGCCGTCAGTGATCGAGTCGGACGCCCAATCGTGAGCTTCGACCAAACTTGGAGACCAACCGAGCAGCCGAAGCCTGATCGTCCAACCTTACCCGTGATCGAAGTGGCAGCACCGACCATTGAAGTCTCAGCGCCCTCAATCGAAGTCTCCGAGCCGCCTCCTCCCATCCCCGTAATTAATGTCCCGGACATCAAAGTACCCACTATCTCCGAGATAGAGGCTCCTTCCAAGCAAACGAGCAGACCGGTGCCCCAGCCGACGAGAAACAGCCCAACTAAACAGGCTTTCCCGAAACAGCAGGGATCTGATTCGCAGAGCCGTTGGCACTCGCCCTATACACGGTCTGGTGTCCCGACTGCGAGCTGTGAGCTATGTACGCTTTCGATTTCCGGAAAAATTGTGACCGCTGGCGGATGTCGATTCCACCCGGAGTGCTTCACTTGTTTCCACTGTCATACAGCCCTCGAATGTGTGGCTTTCTATCAAGAACCGGAGTCCAGCAGAGCCGAGAGATTAGAAACCGAAGCTAATGACCTTGAGGCCCGTGTGCCACGTTTCTACTGCCACCTGGATTTCCACGAGCTGTTCAGCCCCCGTTGCAAGAGCTGCAAGACCCCCATCGAAGGAGAAGTGGTAGTGGCATGTGGTGCTGAATGGCATGTCGGCCACTTCTTCTGTGCAGAGTGCGGTGATGTATGTGTGGATTTCTTTTCTGATAATTTCGAACGTAAGACAACTGACTATTTCTCCTCATAGCCCTTCGATTCAAAAACTCCCTTTGTTGAGAAAGATGGCTTTGCATGGTGTCTCCGCTGCCACTCACGCCGTACCGCTCCACGTTGTCTGGGGTGCAAGCAGCATGTCATGGACGAGGTTGTCATCACCGCAATTGGCGGCCAGTGGCACGAGCACTGCTTCAATTGTCACGAGTGTGGTGATGGCTTTGGTCCGGAGGGCCGTTTCTTCGTTCGTGAAGGCGAGCCCAAGCGAACAGCTAAGGGCCGAATCATCGGTGGTCCGGTCCAACTGGCTATCTGTGAGAGATGTGAGGGTATTCGTCTTAAGGCGCCCGGGATGTGCTAGACTTTTGCACCAGATGGTTGTGGGGCTACGACCACCATGTTTTAACGAGATTACTGCTTTTATGATAGACTCATGCATGAGGTCGGTGTTTGATTGTTGCATTACTTGATTCTTGATTTGTCTGCACGTGTTCTACCGACCCTTTTTTGGGTTCATTTCGGGACTTTTTCGTTTTCAGTGTTGTGTTTTTGTTAGCAAGCGAATATTCAGCGATGTAGGAGAATGATATTGGAAATGCATTTAGAATAGGGGAGAAACGCCTCAAAACACCTCTCTTATCGTCATATCATTTGAGATCAATGATTCCAATAACTGCCCATATTCTCCTCTCTAATTAGATATCTAATACCCTCCACTCCTTTTCAAGCAGGCCACTCAGGATCAGCCTTGCGTCTGAAAACAGCAACATACTTGTTTCCCTTATTTCTCGTAACTTTCTTCGACTCCTCTGTCTCATACTTCATAACCCGCACACAAGGATCAAGAGCAAGTTCCTCATCAGAAACCCGCTCAAACAGATCTTTACTGCTCGGAGCAGGAGCCGCCGCACCCTCCGGCTGCTCTCCAGGCAGAAAATGCCGCAGGACCCAGTGGTGATACTCCTCAACATCGGTAATGGTGTACAGCAGACCACCAGGCCGCAGCACAAATGCATACTCGGAGTTCAGAGACTCGGAGACAATACGGGCCTTGTGCTTACGAGCCTTGAAGTGCGGGTCTGGGAAACAGATGAAGATCTTGGAGAGTTGGTGGTGGCCGAAGAAGTTGGGGAGGAACTTCATTGTGTTGCTGCGGATTGCAGTGATGTTTTCGAAGTTTCCTGGGAAGATTTTCTCCGTGCCGATTTCATCGTCGTTGGCTGGGGCCGCGGCCGGTGATTCTGTGCCTTCAGGTTGTGCTGAGGCATCTTGGGGTTCGGTTGATGATGGGTTCGCGGCTTTGTTTTTAAGGCGTTGTTGTTGGCTGCGCAGGGCGTGGATGCGAGAGCTCAGGTATTCCAGCACTGAGGTGCGGATTTCCATGCCTGTGGTTTTGTTGTTAGTTTTGTGCTGCTGATTCGCCCGGTGCAATATTTATCTTTGAATATCACGGCGCTGTACTTACCGACCATCAGGGTATCTGGCATTAATGGCGCCAGGCCAACCATCAGCCCGCCGAATCCGCATCCGATATCCACGACTTCGACCTCCTTGGTCAACTTGCGCCCTCCGCTGAGGTTCGTTTTCGATGTATCTGGATCCACGAATGCAGGGTAATGGGATGACCAGTCCATATGCGCGGGGCTGAGGGGACTATTAGAGTATCAGTTAGCTATCGGTTCGCGATCGGATGCGTAGGATTGTCGCTAGTGAAGCTCGAGAATCCCGTAGAGATTCCCATAGAAATAATCTGACGGGAAATAGGCAAAGGAGGATACATACTACTCTAGCCGGTGGTCAGAGAAGGGATTCGCATGCGCGCGCTGGCGGAAGAATTTCTTCTGCGGCATCTTGATGACGGCATCTGTGGATTCCTGCTGTGCCTGTACATTGCGACGGTATTCTTCGCGCTTCATGCGCTTCGCAGGTATCTTTTGAGTGGCCATTTTGAATAGACAAAGGGAAGAGAGAATCGAAATGGCCGAAGTTGACGAAATTGAGAAAATCCCGGCCCCACCTTTTTACTCCACATTGGAGTCTCTCTTTACTTTCTCTTGTCTCTTCTTGTTCTCGACTTTCTATTTGTCTTGTCTTTCTACTTCTATTTGGACTATTTGGGCTATTTAGCTTTTAGCTATTGATCTCACTCTTCACTTTTTAATCTCTCCAATATGACAACAACACCCTTCGCCTTCCCACCAACCTACAACTTCCCCCCCTTTTTCACCCCGCAACCAAACACAACAACTCGCCACTCGCAGCTCGAGAAATGGTCCTCCCTAATCCAATCCTGGTGCCGGCATCACCGCCAATACCGTCTCTCCCTAATCGACGCCGTTGAAACCCCGCTCTTCCACAATACAGCCCTGCGCAAGCGCCTTGATCTGCGCGAGGCCCGCGCGGTCGTTGACTGGATGTCCAAGAGCGAAGAGGAAGGCGGCGGTGGGCGGCGAGCGGAGTGGATCTCTGATGCTGGAGGTGCGTCGTCTTCGGGAGCTTTGGGAAATGGTGCTGGGATGGGGCCGAAGACTGTTGCGTGGATTTGGTGGAGGAGGCCTGAGGAGTGGGCGGATGTATTGGTCGACTGGGTTGAAGGCACTGGGCAGAAGGGTTCGGTTCTGACGGTCTATGAGCTTATTCATGGAGAGGGGGCCATGTCGCAGGGTGAGATTTCTCTCTTCGATTGTGGGTGATAGTGTTTAGGGATGTGCTGATCCGCGTCTACAGAGTTCCATGGCATGGATACTGATGTCATGCTGCGCTCGCTGAATGTCTTGGTCAAGAGGGGCAGGGCGCAGATTTTTGGTGGCGAGGGCCAGGAGGGTGTTAAGTTCTTTTGAAGAGCTCAAGATGAGATGCTGGGATTTCTCTATGAGATAAATCGTGGCTATTCGTGGCGGAAACAAAGCGCTTATCATGTGCAGGTCAAAAGAAATGTCAAACCACGTCGCCAATTCTCCACATTTATACACAAAATCAATGTTCTTGGGTTGAAAGCCCCAAGTGGATGAGGCGGTGAGTCCATGGACTCAATACCTTGGTATCGGTCTACTGGTCCGTATTCTCGATCATCTCCTCGGTCAGCTCATATTCGTCGGCGGTACGTATCTCCTGTGACATGGCCATGTCGAGGAGCCAATCAACTCGGACGATCCGTGGAGTTTTCTTGATATCGAGCGCCAATTGACGGAATCGAGGCCAGACTCGGGCGTGATTAGCTCCGGCGCTGCTGAGAAGAAAGACATCTTTGTGGGCAGGCTTGTCGTCTTCCGCTTCGCTTTCCTCGTCGCTCTCCTCCCGCCGAGAATGGTTCGCTACAGCCAGACGGCCGCGGAAAAGCATGCACTCTCCTCCGTTTGTTTCAACGATAGATTTGAATGCATCAAATCCGCCTCGAATGTCCTCGACGCAATAGATGCGATACCGCTGCAGCATTTTATTCTTGTTCTTCTTTGCGTTTCTTGTGACGGAAGACAGGTCAAAATTGTACTTTTTCTCTGCTTCTTTATCCTCCAGAGGGAAATCGGAGGGGTCCAGCAGTTCCTCCTTCCTTAGGCAACTGGTGATAAAGTCGGTGCTCACGATCATCGGCGCATACGCGAGTGCATTGACAAATTTAGTGGTTCGCAATATCGACGGTGCGGCCAGGTGAGTGCATCGTCGGGCATCTTGGACCACCATAATACCGAGATCTCGAAGGCCTCGCTGCGAAAGTGTCAGTACATAGATCTTGCCAAATCATGTTCGTAACTGCTGTAGCCAAACAAACCTTATCTGCATCCTCTTTCTTCTCGTTGCCCTTCCCTACCCATCTCTGATAGCCAGTAATTAGGAGGTGCATAGCAATTGGTGGCCGAGACTTTTTCTGTCGTTTAGTCTCCACTACTTGCTCGCCATCGCTCTCATCCTCAGCTTCAAGTGAGGCGCGCTTCTTGTTCTCCTGAACCCGGCCCTCGTCTGACTTCCGTCTGCCACCGTAGATAACACCTCCCACGCGTTTCCTTTCCTTTTCATACAAGGCAAGGTCTGGGGCATACTCATGTAGTCGGGCAGTTGCTGCCTCTTTTGACTTGCGGCTACTGGTCGACGACGGGGTCTCGTTTTCTTTGCCCTCGGACATGATTCGAGTTCGTGCAGGTGTTTGGATAGGTCCGCGCGACTTCCCATTGCCCTGCGGAGTGCCGTGCGAAGTTTCCGAGGCATCCTCATTGATCTTCCGTTTCTTCTCAGCGGGAGGCTGCACTGAAACCATATTTCGGTTCTTACTATGCATTGCGCGCCGTGGGCTATGAGCAGTCTCCCCGGACGAGAAAAAGACCTGTTCCAAAACATTGCGATCGAGCTGGGTCTGGCCTGCGACTTCTCCGAGATTGGTTCGCAGAGGGAAGTGGCTGTATCGCGGGTTCGAGGCCGGCTGTAGCTTCCATTTTGCATAACTGTCCTCCAGCCACAGGTGGTTGACAACTTCAAGGCCCCATTCCTTCGCCGCATTGCATTTCTCACTCGTTCCATGTGCCGTAATCAGATGAGTATTTTCTTGTTTTAAGGTTTTGGTACATTCTGCACCTGCTGCTGCGATCAAGTTCTCCAAATAGATTCTTGCTTCGCCAACATAATTGGACAAACTAATCTTCAAGCCTTCAAACCCGGGGATGCCAGTTCGAGAGATTGGGTAATGCAGTAGTCGCCTGAGGGGTGAAGTATATGTGTTGAATGTAATGAGGCGGTAGAGCCATGCAAGATTCCCAACGTCTATGTTCAGTCGCGATGCCGTGCGGTAGGCAAATCCTTCCCGGTAACGGCAAATTAACATGTCTGCCCCATCAATAGTTGATGTCATTGTGGCACCACCTTGTTCGAGGACAGCTTGGATCGATTCCTGCAAGTGCAAGCCGATTCCAAGATCCGGAGACAGCATAATGGACTTCCCTTCAAAGACACTTTGTTGGCCTGACTTATGGGCGGAACTGGATGGCGTTGGCAGCTTAGAAGGATCCGTTGTCGATGCACCGACCAAATCCTTATTCTCTTGCCATCGGATTGGAGTATCAGGACCCACACGCAAGATCTCTGGATCTGGAAGTGTATATGGACGTTCATCGATTCGTCGACCAAGTTTAAGGCAGTCGTCAAACCTGTTCTCAGTCAGCGATGGTCACTGGCTGTTGTACCAGGAAACTCACCAGTGCGGTAGTACAATCTTCACGTTCAATTTCTTCGCCTGGACAATGCGCGCTTTGTCGGAATCGGCCGTGAGGTCCACCAGGTGTGTACCCATCTGAGAAACTCTTGGGGAGTACAAACCACCTTTTGCGACGACACCACCTATGATTGCATCCTTGTCTCCCTCAGGTATATCGCCGCAGGTAACGACCACATCGTTCATGAACAGACGCGGGTCTGGGCTGTATTGGCGAGGGTTGGCCAATTTTCGCTTCATCAATGAGTTATTCACCCACTGTGGCTTCACCACAGGGATCAGCGCATCGCAGATGGTATCGTAGGCTTCGAAGTCAATCGTGGTAGAGATCAAATGGCTGAACTTCGCTACATCGGGGACTTCAGCACCAGGTTGGACAATCAGAGGCTCGCCGCCATTTTGCTCGAGGAGAGTTGCCAACTAGGTGATTGTAATCTGTCAGTCTAGTTCAGGCTGTATCAGTGGCAGGAAAATACGTACCTGCTCCGCGGATTCTCTCTCGAGATCCTTGGAGCATACAATACAGAGGCAACACTGCTCGAAGAGCTTAGACTCTCCGTGTTCAGTTGCCATGGCCAAAGTTCTAGATAAATTATGCGATTAAGATTGGCTTGTTGATTGGAGAACCTCCAAGGGAGTCACATCCAAGTGTAGAACCAAAAACGAGGCAATCAGGGACGCGCCCACGCGTGTCAGGAACGCCGGATCACGTGCACCACAGCGCGCGGAATCAGATGTCTACTCCGACGTTTGATCTATCTAGTCTAGACCCAAGTAGTTATTGATGAACGATTTCCAATAAGTCGAATTCAATCTATGCTCTTGATCCGACAGGCCCGAGGCATTTCAGACACATTTCAACTAGCACACTCATATGAAACTCTTGCTACAGCGATCATGCAGGTGCGAAACAGCAGCGGTTTTCCTTCCTCATCCATACTCAGTCCATTTCACGGGCATTGGTCTATATGCCGCGTCCAATTTGCTTGACGGTAGATACATCCCAGCAAAGATATCAGTAGGCCTTACCAGACTCAGCAAAAATGAACGTTGTATTGATAACTCTCACTTCACCATTGCAACCACTTTCATCATGCATGTCTTTTAGCTCTCCATTTCTACCAACTTCCTTCTGAGTTCATCGATGGTGGCCTCGCAGTGCGTACTTTGATTTCATATAATGCCACTTCCATGTCGACTAAATGTCGTACATGCAATTCTGTGGAAGCTTCCATCTCGATATTTGCAGATTTCAAAAGCTCGAGAATTTCCACCAAAAGTGGCTTATCCGGCACCTCCACGCGGTCAAAATGCCGTTTTGCTGTTGGGGAGGGAAATGTCGATTCAAAATTCAAGTTTGACCTCTTCCCTGAGCATCGTCCCCGGACCCCGGGTAGGCAAGAATGTGGCTCGTCTTCGATTTTGTTGGGGAGTCCGAGGTGACGACTTTGATACCCTTGCTGTGGGTTCATCCTTTTCCCAAAGGAAAACCCCACAGTCTGCTCTATGGGGACATCAGGACTATCCTCGTGATTAATGAACATTCTCATAGGCACAAGTTCTAACTTACATTTATCTCCCCTGGTCCAGTCTGTTTTCGAGGAGAGATCTCTGGCTAGGTCGCCGCAGCCGCAGTACCACTTACTCCCCTTGAATTCCCCAGTCTCATATCGCGATTCTTGAAACTTGTTCTGAGCCATTTGAGTGTTCTTTCTTATGAAATCGATAGCGGATGAGGGACGGTCTAAAGTCAGGGTAAGAGGATATAGCAATGACACGCGGGTACAGTCGGCGCCCAGTGCATTCAAATAAGAAGCACCCCGCTCTAACTCGTATATCGCAGGTGACCATGGCACAAATGATTGAGCCTCGATTTTTGAACACAGCCATCTGGTGTCTGTTAATGCTCAGCTTGGCCCGGCTACGGCGGCTAGTCTCAAGAGGATCATTGGTTGGACAAATTCAGCGTTTCCATTTGTGTGCATGGGCATGGTGCATTGCGAGCTGCGGAGCTAAGCATGCAAGCACGTCGTGGATTAATTTAGTTGGCTATCTTGCAAGCGCAGATACAGGTCACAGAGCCCCAGCCCCCGCAAGCTACCAAATATAATAGAAAGTGTGGTTGCAGGGGCACTCGTGTCATGAATCAGCCCGTCGGTGGAGGCTCGGTGAGACAATCGATTTATAGGAGGTTTTGGCTCTGGGACAAATTAGCCATGGATATTATCAACGAGAGAGACTGCTTGCAGGTCTTGAAGAGAATGAGTGTTCATAGTAGATAAATGTCTCGTCGGCTTTCATAAGACTGTTCAAACAAGCTATTAATATGAAGTGGTGCGAGCGCTGCAATCGGTCGTTTGGCAGCCAGGAAGCCCTCGACCAGTATCTGCGCGACTTGCCCTCGCATTTCCAGCTGCCTAGAACTCCTTTTGAACATATTTTTCCAATCATTCAATAGCTTTATATATGATCCTACGTTACCGCCAACTGAATTGTACTGGTCTTTACAAAGCTTCTATGGTTGGCATAGAGGTGAAGAAATCTGATCGAGCTTGGCAACAATTCCAAGAAGCTCTTAACCAGGAGTTTAAGCTCTGGTTTGGAGCAGAGGATGATATTGCCGCGTGGCATTCACTTTGCCGCGCTGTGAAGATTCAACCTTTACCAAGAACTTGTCTTGACTGCGAAAAGGTAGTACAGTCATTCTCGAAATTGGCTTGACCAATACACACTATGAGCCTCATTGTTATGATATCTCAAGTAAGGGCGGCTCGCCGAAGTGATTGAACTACGCTAAGAACTTGGCAGTGGGATTGGGGAAGAATGATTGATTGTAGTGCGCCAGGCAGAATGCCAAGGAGCGGATCGGTGGGGGCCAGAATGAAAGAAAGAGGGCGGCGATGAGTGCGAGACCGAGTGTTCTATTCAAGGCGGCCAAGATGGAGAGTTACAGGACAGCGTATTTCGGCACTAAACCGGAGGAGGTAACACTAACCGCATATAGTAATTCACAGGTCCGCCGTTTACGAGGACCATAAAATATTTCCTGAGTTAAAAACTGCATGCCAAGATGTACATGTACGTAGGTAAGTAGGTAAACTCAAGCATATAGCGAGACCAGTTACCCAACAGGCGCTAAGGCGAAATTTTGCTACCTACAACGATCGTAAAAAATATCGGTATGCATGCATGCTGTAACTGCTATGTACGAATGAATATGTAAAAACCAAAGAGTCGGGGAATATCAACATTCAAAAAAGTGAGGCCCAACAAACTTGCTCAGATAACCACCAAGCTAGATGCAAATAGTGAACAAAAGAAGAAAAGAAAATCAAGCTGCCATCGTTAAAACGTACGAGGTGATACTATCCATGCGCTCAGTCGTCAACTTCAAGCTAACAGTCAACAGCTCACGAGCAATCCGCGGCTCCTTATCCTGCAGTGCCTTCCACTGCACCCCGGTCAAACACCAAGCCACGCAATCACGCTCAGCCTTGACCGTCGCCGTGCGGCGTGTATCACTGAAGAAAGGCAGTTCGCCGCACGGTCGACCAGCGACAATCAACTCGAAGTAGCGGCCCTGTGGGAGGTCGTAGCCAGCGCGCAGCATGCCAGACTCAAGGAGGTAGAAAGCGCGCGGCGGGTCGCCTTCGTGGTACAGGACTGTGCCAGCGGGGTAGGATTCGCGGGAGAAGTAGGCGCAGGCGGGGAACCAAAAGTCTTCATTTTCGGTTGAGAGGCCTTGGAAGGTTTGGAGGAGGAGGGGGAGTGGTTGGCGCATGGCGGACCAGGCGGGTGAGGCCATCATTGCTGTTTCGTGGGCTTGGATGGTTGAGGTCGCTACGCGCTGCAGGTACTGGCGGCGAGGTGAGCTGACGATGTTGTCGGCTAGGGTGGGGGGTTTGGGTCCTGGGGGCACCGGGATTTGGAGGAGCTCGGAGTTTTCAGCTGGGCCGGTGGGTGTGGAGAGTGCTTCCTGGCGGCTATAGAAGACTTTCAGGTAGTTGTTCTCGCAGAACTCAAGGGCTGAGTTAAGGTCTTCGAATATGGGGACGCCGGACTCTGGCTCGAAGAGTCCTACGTTCTGTAGGGACTTGCCTACGTCACCTTCGACATCCAAGCCGGAGATGGCTATCTGTACGTTGCGCTTTCGGAGAACGCGGTTGATGCGGGTGAATGCTTCTGCGGCTGAGAAGTCGAGTCCGTACACCCGAGAAAAATCGAGAATGATAAATCGAATGGGACGCCGGTCGAAAGCTTCCTCCTCGATCAGGCCGCGCATGGTGTTCTCGACATTCACGATGGTCCCAAAAAATAGATATCCACCAAGCTTGATGATCAGGGTCTGCTGTCCAGCTTCGCGTAGGAATTGCTGTTGGATGGGAGGACGTCGGACCGTCGACCCGGAAATTTCGCCGGAGAATTTTGCTCGAATGGCAGATTTGCGAGAAGTTTGGACCACAAAGTTCACGCATGCCAGAATGATCCCAACGAAGATTCCGACCACGAAGTCCCAAGCGCCCATCGTAACAACGATAATAACAACGGTCAAATATTCAAGCCGAGTGAGTTTACCCCATGTGTCCACCAATGCCTCCTGCAAAAGCTCAATGCCCAACAAGAAAATCAAGGCACCGACAACCATAATGGGAATATAGCCGATTATAACTGGGCCAATGACCATAATCCCTGCAGTGGCTGCGGCCAACATGAGACCGGCCAACCGAGATGATCCGCCACTTGCAATGAAGAGAAGACTATTGGTGTAAACAAGATAGTTCTGCTTTCATTAGCTTATTAAACACAGCTCTAACGATGGGGGTCACATACCTGAATGCTTCCTACAAACCCTGAAAGTGCATTCGTCACGCCATGCGCCATGAGCTCTCTATCAACGTTGAGATTGTCTTCACCGGTGGATATACCGAGAGCAGGTACGTTAATGGGCACATGAAGCACACCAAAGAATGTCAAAGCAAACATGGCCGGGATTGTCTCACCAAAGGCAGTCCAATTGACCGCCGAGAGATCTGTAACGAATCAGCATGGCAACACCCAAATTATTGCAGCTGGTCGACTCACCATAAAGAGAATAGAAATGATACCAGGGGTTGTTCGAAGATGGGGCATCGAAGACCCATCCACTGTGGCGAAGAGCGCCCATAGAGATCCTGGCGCTTAGAATGACAATGTAGAACACTACAGCAACGGCAATGAAGTAACCACCGACAAGGAAGTTTGAGCGAACAAATCGTTTGAGAACAAGAAGGCCAATGGCAAGGAATAGGGGTATCATCCAGAGAGGGAAAGTATCAAGGTGGAAAAGTTTCTGGATCGTGGGGAGGTTGTACTCAAGAGACCCGGGAAGCCGGGCTGAAACCTCCATTCCAGTTTGTAGAAGAAAGTAGCCCACACCACCGATACACCCAATGAGAATATGACGTGGGAAGAAGCCAATGAGGGAGCCCAGCCCACAGACACCCATTAAGAAGAACACCAAGCCAGTGAGGATCGAACTGGCCGAGAAGGCTAGGATGGTCGTTGCAATCACAGATTTCGGGTTGTCCTTGCCG